GGCTCCGGTCCCAGCTGCCGGGGCGTCATCGGCTCCGGTCCCAGCTGCCGGGGCGTCATCGGCTCCGGTCCCGGCTGCTGGGGCGTCATCGGCTCCGGTCCCAGCTGCCGGGGCGTCATCGGCTCCGGTCCCAGCTGCCGGGGCGTCATCGGCTCCGGTCCCAGCTGCCGGGGCGTCATCGGCTCCGGTCCCAGCTGCCGGGGCGTCATCGGCTCCGGTCCCAGCTGTCGGAGCGTCATCGGCTCCGGTCCCGGCTGCCGGGCCTTCGTCTGCCTAGGCTCCGGTTTGCTGAAAGGTTGGCTGCTCCGGCGCTGTACCCGGAGATGACGTGTACGGCGATGCTGCGTTCCAACGTCCGACAGTTTCGACTTAAGAGCGCCAGGCATTTACTTCAGTGCAGGGTTGTTTTCCTTATCGCGTTGCCCAAACTATTTCTGCAAGCTGAGAAGCAATAGTTCGCTCCTTAATTCACATTCTCTTCGTTCTGTTTGTTTCCGTTCACTGCAGACGGCAGGGATCACGTGGTCTGACGCGGTTGTCCCGACACGTGTTTGAGCTACGGCACGCCACGTCAGGTCGCGTTCAATGTGTGTGCACTGCAGGCATCTGCGCGGTGACCACAGACGTATCTATCCAGGCCTTCAGCAGCCGGAGCCGCCGCTAAACGGGCCGAAAACAACGCGGCTGAGATGGTAGCGTGGAATCCTGCTAGCGTCCATACCCGTTCTGGTGGGTTTCGGTCACGGGTTGCCCAGTGCGAGAGTTGGGTTGGCCAGTTCTCTTACACACCCGGCGCATCGCATATCCGCGCGACGAAGTATGAGGAAACATTCAACATCACAGTGTCGTAGCGACCCAGGACCCGGTTACGTTTCGCTGCAATGCGAATGAGACAAGAATTCGTTCCGGCACACATTCTTCCTGCCATGCAATGTCATACTCGCTGACGACCGTAATGCATGAAGTGACTAATTAAGCACGTGCCGAGGAGGCCTCAGAAGTTGTAGGAGGCTACTGGACATGAAATATAGATGGATGAGCTCCAGGTAAAACGAGTACAGGTAAGTTATTGAGTGCATTTACGAGGAGCATTATGCATATACATAAGACAGTACTAATAGCCTTATTCCTCGTAGAATGGCCAGGGGAAGAGAGAGATAAATGGATTGGTAATTCGGCTCCATGCCTTTATTGAAACAATACATTATATTGTGTATGTGGCCGTTAGAAATCGGTCATCTTGCTACATTGTATTGCACTACTGATATTATTTTCGATGAAGACATGTGGCCGAAATATCTCTTCATCTATCCCTGCATTCTCCCGGTTGTTGTGCAAGGAATAAGGCTATTAGCGCTGTCCTATTTATAAGAGCACAAGTAAACTCCATTAACACGCACCCAGGGTTGAATGCCACACGACGGGGTCAGGGGCTCAGGTTGGCTCCATGACATCTTAAAAACTGAGACAGATAGAAATCCAAAAGGACAGGGTGGATGACCTGTTTGTGAACTCGCTTGAGCGGAAATTTGAGAAGTGGGCAGCTTGGCCTCCACTAGCCAATCCACCCGTCATGGACAATGTACCGAAAGCAAACAAGTATGGAATGTATCGGTTATAAGCGTTGTCACTCAAGCGTCCACGAAGACTAAAAATGTCCAAAAGCTGATTACGAGTGTAAGTGTGTCAAAAAAGGTTTTTCTTAAACTTACATCACACATCGGTTATAGGGTCACGTCCCCCATATTCCACGCATCTTTACCACCAGCAAATTGACTGCAGCACGTCAAATGGTACACGTTTTTGCACTTACAGTATGGATAGGTGGTTTTTACGCGACTCAGAATTTTCCTCGCACTAAACAGTGTCGGCATTTTGCTATATTCTTTACCTGGGTCCATTAGCAAGTTCACCATATTTTGGTCCAGCTGCTTCGTCCCGCTTGGGACCTCAGCAGGTCATGGAATGAGCCAGTCAATATTTCAGCGCAATACCTAGCCACAAGTATGAAGAACACCATTTTTATGTTGACATGATATGTTTGACGACACCACATCATGCTTTTATTGTATTCCTGCCTCTATCTTGACGCTCGTCTCCACCAATCAAATTCAAATTTACTCGATCTGAAAGTCGCTTAAACTGAAAAACAGCCGTGAGCTTTTTTCTGTTACCTCCTTTGTTATGTATCAAGCTAACCTATAAACAGCCGACTCACCGCATATATATACAGCCTCTCCCTAAAGAATGCCAAAGGCCAGGCTGGGCGTGGGTCGCTGGCAGAATGTTTGAGCGAGGATGGGGAATATATACATTTTAGGAGGATTCGGCGTTCGCTGGCTTAGACTGCCCATGCCCCCACCCACGCCTCCCCCTAGTCCACATGTTATATTAGGTTAGGTCCCGCTTTAGGCTCGCTAGACATGTCGCAACGCCAAATATATATGACCCCAGTCTTTCTCCTCTCGAGAGGCAAGATTGTCAGTCATAGCGCCAAAATCCGCCCAGAAAATTACTAAGTATAAGGGGATAACCTAGCCCTCATACAATTCAAGCGAAGTCCCCCACCCGCAACAGGCTTCAACGCCTTGACCGCGTAAAAGACGTTGTTGGCTGTCTCGAAGGCAGTCCCCATTTATTACAGCTGTTTGCATCAGCTGCTGTTGGCTTCAGCGGCGGCGCGATTTACCACCAGAGTCGGGTCCGCTGGTTGCCGGCGATAGCCCGCGGCCGGGCGGGCTGTGTACGGCCCAGTTTATCACAGCCCCCGCAGCCGGCCGCGTGGCGCCGCAGATAGCTCGCCCCAGCTAGAGCGGCGTCGCGTAAACCACGCTCGCAGGAGCTAAGCTTAGCCGCACCAGTCACGGGGCGGCGGGGGGTGAGTTATGGTGTGCGCCACTGGCTGCCGCAGGAGCATGAGCTTCGGCGCCTGCCGCAGAGACGTCATCTGCGCGCGCTGGGGTCATGTCACGACCAGGCGCCAGCATAGCCGAGATGATTAAGAGATGACATTTATTTAGCAGTAGAATGTCGGCATTGATGCCAACAAGAAATGCCTGTTTGACTTGATGCGCACGTCTGTGTTCTGTGTGCGGAAAGTTGGGGCCGCACTTCACTGCGACCGACGAACGTGATGTGTTTCAAACAGTCGTCCATGTTTCCAGGCGATGTTAATTTGATATCATGATTTGTTTCGCCCCTTATAATGTCAGTGCTTTTGCTGCCAGAAAGATTGCATCGTGAGATAAGTTGGCGTGCGCACTAGGTAGATACCAGTAGATAATTGGCGTCTGCGTATATTTATGGGTCGTGCCTTCCAATTCACCACCTTCGGCCTGGTGGTGTGCTTTTCCAAGATGAGTGGATCATAGTCAACCAAGTGCACGTGTCTTGTCGCCTCTCTCCCCCTCTGCTCCCCTCCCCCCCCCCCTCCCCCCTCCCCCCAGCTCCCGGCTGCCGTGTTTACGGCCATCATCAAATATTGGAGAGGTTATTAAAATGTGAGCAAAATGCTATAAAAACGTTCACTGTGTTCTCAATCGTGCTTAAAGTAGCCTAGGGTAATGACCTAGGGTAATTACCTTTAGAACCCTAGGGTAATGCCAGCACATTCTGAACACGATACCGCCAGGAACGGTATTCCTTTTGACTATTAATCAAGTCTGTAAATCTGTAAGTACTAAGCGGATCTGTGCGGTCGGCGGTTCAATCCCTGCGCTACGGATGGCGCTCCCGGGTCTCTGTCCAGCAGGGGCAGCCAGGACAGCAGAACACTGGTTGTAGCGTGGTAATCTCCCACCCCACGCCCGATCCGGCGCTCAGCGGGTGGCTGGCGGCTCCACCCGTCCGCCCGCTGAGGCGCACGTGGACAGTCCGCGTTGGCGGGATCAGCAGGCCATCAGCTGGCGGGACCAGCAGACCTTCAACTGGCGGGATCAGCAGACCATCAGCTAGCGAGACCAGTAGACCTTCAACTGGCGGGATCAGCAGACCATCAGCTGGCGGGATCGGCAGATCGTCAGCTGATGGATCAGCAGACCATCAGCTGGCGGGATCAGCAGACCGTCAGCTGGTGGATCAGCAGACCGTCAGCTGGTGGATCAGCAGACCTTCAACTGGCGGGACCAGCAGACCATCAGCTGGCTAGTGTGCACGATCTGAGCCGCGCGATTGCTGACGATTGTTTGGTACTCTGAAAGCTGAAGATCGAGATGTAGGCCGCTGTAGCAAAGATGATGTAGTACGAGATGTAGGTAGCAAAGCATCTTGTTGTAGAGGTGCAGCTGAATGTGTGTATTCTTCTGTTCTTGTGAAGCAGCTTGCTCCACCTTTGTATCATTTGCACCCCGCTCTCCTGTCATTCAGGCTCGGGCTCAGGCATTTGGCTCCCAAAATGATTACATATATTGCAACGTGCATTCAAGCAAGAATGACGACACCGATTGATTCAATAAACCAGAGATAAAATCACCCCGACACCCATGTCACGATAGGCTCTCAAAATAGCGGATCATCATGATACGCAGTAGGTCACGAGAAGGAAAGCACCCTTGAAGCCAACGAAAGATCGAGAACCGAAGTTGACGGCTGCAGAGGACGAGCTGGCTTCATGGCCATACAGAGCTATGCTAATGGAGACGGGTCGCACTCCACGTTCGTCGGCTAGCGGCGCTCTATAACATGTGAACAGCTGCGCAGTGACCCGGCTGTTAATCTTTGAAAGAGAAACCAACGCGCCACCCCTTAGGGGTGCTCTTCGCTGCATTTTTTTTTCGCTAGCAAAACTTCGTTTAGGAATCGCAGCTTTTGCTCAGTTCTATAAATATTGAACAAAGGAAAGTTTTTGAAACGCCCAATCCGTCTACAAACGCATTGCTTCTGAGCCGTGATACGCAATGTCATAGAAAGAAGTGAGAAGACGACCGGCAGCACACAAAATGACGTGCTCATTTGGTGCTCGCTGGTGTGAGACAAGATGCTGTGATAGGTGATCTGTCTCATAATCAAACCACCATTGGGGTCTAACAACGGGCAAGCCTCAGGCTCACAATGCAGGCGTTAAACCCACGTACGAATGGCACTTCTTACCCTTCGCCGGGCGAGGGCGTTAGATGCTGAGCCCCCTAACATCAGAGGATTCCCTGCACGCCAGGCCGCCCACTGGTTCCTGTTTCACGGCTCCAGCTCAAGTGGGGAATAAATGGCAAGGGGCACCTAGGAAGGACATGAACACCCCTAACCCCAACTCCACCCGAGCTCCCAGGCCGCCAGGCGAAATCGCCCCCGCTCGGCGGGAGCTATTCTTGGCTCACTTGCGATTCTTCTAAGTCGCTGATGTAGACCTAAGGTCACCGCTGCGCACGTCACAAGTCTGTCAACTTACGTAAAGCAACACCACGGTCTCCGGTCGGAAACCCCCACGGCTTGAATGGGACCCGTACCACAAACGGATACGGCCAACACAACGCATCGCAGTTCACAGGTAAAGCCTCACAACAGCGACATATGGCACGACACAGTGTGCTGCCGACATTGGTCACAACTGCTTAAGCTGTTTCGTGTACGCCTCGTTGCTAAATGGCGGTCGGCGACTCGACCGCTAGTCCACACGGAGGTGGCGACGGCCCACCTCGTCACCACACATGCACGGGCCAAGGGTGAGACCTCTCGAGCCGGGTCGGCTCCGGGGTCAGGGTGACATCTCCCGATCGCCGATCTGGCTCAGGAGAGTATCTCGAGGTCCGCGCGGAGCCGCGATGTCGGCCGCGGGGCGCATGTTTATTCCGGCAGATACAATACGCCAATATTGGCAAAAATGTGCTGCAAAAATGCCAAATTGGAGAATTTTTCTTGCTGTGCTTACAGGGAAGAACTACTGCGAACACAAAATTGACGAGAACAATAAATATTTTGTGCAGGTTTTTATATTTTGTGCAGGTTTGCTCTTGATGAGTCATGTAGGAGTCACGACGTGCTTTTTTATCTTTACTCTCTTCGCAGATCCTAACTATTGCTGACCAAGGTAGGAAAAAACGCATTGTATTTCAAACTCCGAGCAATTAATTTGAGGGGGTCCGGTGGTGGTAATCTAACCAGAGCCGCTCACTTGAAAGTACTTGATTTTTGACTATGTGCGATTCGACCACCTCGTTCAGCATCGTTGCCTTCTGATCCTCGAGTTGAGTTCAAGAGCTCTTACGACTTCGCTGCCACTGGGCTGTTGTGCTGTTATTATAAGGTCTTGGCTACCACACGTCGCGTACCCGTGGCGGTGTATGATGGTTGCCTTTGGTGTTTCGCGGACCCAGCAGCCCAGCGAGAAAACGTCTCTCATTTTGTAGCTTTGCAGCAGATTTTCTCCACCATTGGCGTTTTTAGATCCACCGGAATAAGTGCGCGTGCCGGGCGACTAGAATGCATCGCGCGGGCGTGCGCACGTCCATGCAGATGACAGCGGCGCGGGGCTCAGTCGTATTCGGACCCGATGGTGATGCTGATCTCGTCCGACACGATCTGCGTCATGTGGTACCACATGTTGGTGTCCAGCACAACTGAAACAGTCAGACCAGAGCGCCGCTCAGTGCTGGTAGTGGCAGCGGGGCTCGACAGCCGCTGCCGGCGAGGCGTACCGGTTCTCATGCTCAGTACTGAGCGGACAGCTGGGACAATGGGCTGCAGATAACGAGGCGGTCGTCGACTTTGCTGACGGGGGTTGGGAGGGACGAGGAGAATCAGAACTGGTGCAGCTGTGGATACTGGACCGTGAGTTCAAAGCGTCAGTAGTCGGGGTTCGGTTTATCGGATCGACAACATAATCAAACGCCCCAGGGATGTTCCAAGGCCCCAGGTTTTCGACTGGCACAGACGCAGCTGGAGGTCGGTTTTACCTAGTGAACGGCCCATGAAATACTTTGTTGAGCAGCGCCGGTGGAACCTGCCTTGAATGTGGAAAACAATCCCTCATTTTTTACATTTACATCACCATGCAGTTGACCACCATGATCGGCCAGAAGTGGTAAAAAGCGAGGTAACCCGTCGCTAAGCCCCTTGATTATGCACACTGCGGCAGAACATTCCTTGATTCATAGCATGTGACTTACCTGCTGCCAATGGTTTCAACGTCATTATCCCACTTCCTAATCTCTCCCCCGCTGAAGGTGACCTGCCCAATGTGGCCTCACCCACTGATCTCCCCCTGGTTAACAGTGACCTGAGTAATGGGACCTCATTCACTGATCTCCCCCTGGTTGACAGTGACCTGAGCAATGGGACCTCACCCACTGATCTCCCCCTGGTTGACAGTGACCTGAGCAATGGGACCTCACCCACTGATCTCCCCCTGGTTGACTGTGACCTGAGTAATGGGACCTCACCCACTGATCTCCCACTGGTTGAGAGTGACCTGAGTAATGGGACCTCACCCACTGATCTCCCCCTGGTTAACAGTGACCTCAGTAATGGGACCTCACTCGCTGATCTCCCCCTGGTTGACAGTGACCTCAGTAATGGGACCTCACTCACTGATCTCCCCCTGGTTGACAGTGACCTGCCCAATGTGGCCTCACTCACTGCTCTCCCCCTGGTTGACAGTGACCTGCCCAATGTGGCCTCACTCACTGATCTCCCCCTGGTTGACAGTGACCTGTCCAATGTGGCCTCACTCACTGATCTCGCCCTGGTTGACAGTGACCTGAGTGATGGGACCTCACTCACTGATCTCCCCCTGGTTGACAGTGACCTGAGCAATGGGACCCCACCCACTGGTCTCCCCCTGGTTAACAGTGACCTGACTAATTGGACCTCACCCACTGATCTCCCCCTGGTTGACAGTGACCTGAGTAATGGGACCTCACTCACTGATCTCCCCCTGGTTGACAGTGACCTCAGTAATGGGACCTCACTCACTGATCTCCCCCTGGTTGACAGTGACCTCAGTAATGTGGCCTCACTCACTGATCTCCCCCTGGTTAACAGTGACCTGAGTAATGGAACCTCACTCACTGATCTCCCCCTGGTTGACACTGACCTCAGTAATGGGACCTCACTCACTGATCTCCCCCTGGTTGACAGTGACCTGAGCAATGGGACCTCACTCACTGATCTCCCCCTGGTTGATGGTGACCTGAGCAATGGGACCTCACTCACTGATCTCCCCCTGGTTGACGGTGACCTGAGCAATGGGACCTCACTCACTGATCTCCCCCTGGTTGACTGTGACCTGAGCAATGGGACCTTACTCACTGATCTCCCCGTGGTTGATGGTGACCTGAACAATGGGACCTCACTCACTGATCTCCCCCTGGTTGACGGTGACCTGAGCAATGGGACCTCACTCACTGATCTCCCCCTGGTTGATGGTGACCTGAGCAATGGGACCTCACCCACTGATCTCCCCCTGGTCGATGGTGACCTGAACAATGGGACCGTACTCACTGATCTCCCCCTGGTTGACGGTGACGTCCATGCTGCGGCAGACAGACAGACACTCGCGTGGGGGCTCCAGCGTCCACATCTTGCGGCCATGCAGCTGCGCCTGCCACGACGGGTGCTTCACGTGGTCAATCTGCAGTGAAACGGCGCCGGAGGACGTTAGACCTGTAACGTTAACGGCCGACAACAATGAGGCGACATTATAAAGAACGGAACACGCCTCCATACTCCGGCAAAAAACAGTTCACAAATGTGGGTTTAGCTCGCAGTTTCACAGGTCAAGACGTCATGAAAAGTTCAAGCCTTCTCTTTGTTTTTGTATTTCTGCTCAACGAATTTCGACACTTAATCCGTGTCATGCCTCTCTGCGCATTGATAGCAGTGGTCCGAGCGGGCTGAGGTTCTCTGACGCCCTGTGCCATAGAGACTGACAGCTTGTAACCTGGAAAGATCCACGGGATATATTGATCAGTTGCATGTTACCACACGGCATCTAAATAGGTCGATATTTCAACAGGCTAAACACCTTAATTTTTGGGCATGTCATTCCGAACAATAAGAAGAGGAGACAGTTATTCTGCGCAGCAATGTTGCATAAAGTCATGAGATCTATCAACGCAAACATTGGTGGGCCCTACAAGCCTATCAACCAATCAGAAGCGAGATGCAGATGAGACCCCTCTCGCCCTTGGCTGATCCCTTCCCGCGACAGTATTTATGGACCTGATTGAAACGATGGTCCGATGATGACCTGCCAGGATCCCAAGGTCCACAACCAGGCATATAGATAGCATTCTCCAAAGATGGACCATGAACCACATGCTTCCGACAAGTTTCCGCTTTTGCTAACGACTTGCGCCCAATCCCGTCCTTTACTGTGAGAAGTTCTGGCCATTATGATCACTGACACCCTTTATTGACAGCAAAAGGTGACAGAACAATGATGACGACAGCACAAAATGTCCTCCACTGCATGTTTAAAACCTACGGCGTAAACCATAACGTATGGAAGTATCCATTTTCTCTTCCTTAAGCACAGACAAAGTGTTTCGGGTCACCCTCACAGCCCATAAGGACGATCAGCCTAGGAAAAAGCCCAACAAAACAAGTCAGAGGCATGGACATGCCGAACAACTTTCTCTTTGACATTGGATATCCACACTTGTTAAGCCTATTAAGCCTATTAAACTTATTAAACTGAGTGGAATTTATGAAGCTAATGAATTTTGCCGCCTCCGTGGTCTTGGGGAAAGATGCTGGATTCGTAATCCAGCGGCACTGGCTACGAGTCCCAGAGTGGGCGCATTGTTCAACCCGACTGAGATGGAAAGGCCAGCTGGCAACAAGCCAACGAGGTTCAACCCATACCCGAGGCGGCCGTGTCGCAGCATTGTGCGGCACGTAAAACCCTCCGCATTCCTGTCTGGCGAAAGGGTGGAGGCGAAATTAGCTGTTGAACTGGACGGCACGCTTGGGTGGTGGGTTCGGGGTACACGCAACAAGCTATGCTAAGCAGGTACTCTGAATCCGAAGTCACCAATATAAACCATTCGGAATAAATTTTAAAGAATGAGACTTAGTAGAGCTGATAAAACTTGGTTAAGCTTATTACTTAACCCATTAAGTTTAGCAAAATTCGTTAAGCTATTTTAATGTTATTAGACTCATTAAGCTTACAAATTTAGCAAAGTTTATGAAACCTATGCTTACCATGGACCTATCCCAAGAATTAGACATGCTTTATCACCCGTTCTAGGCAATGAAGAAGTTCGCCTGGAATGGATCCACCTAATGCTGACAACGTGACCTCTGTTTCCATTCCATTTATTGACAGCACATTGACAGGAAGAGAAAATGCATCTCATAAATCTACTGAGCTGCCAATTCGTGGCATCACAGAGCGGTACAACGCTTTCAAATGGCCACCAAAATATGGCTCAGACTCGTCAAAAGATCTTTCGTTTAACGCATGATGCAACGTTTGCAGTTGAGGTCTGGCTGGTTGTTGTTGCGCTCAGCAGTTGTTCATCCCTACAGCTTGTGACACCTGCCAGGTTGATACCTTGCGGCTTATCGGAAAAAGCAGCAGAGAGCGATCGTTAAAAAAGACACGTTAGGCGTTCAAGACAATTCCAAGAGGCAAGAATCCTCCGGCCATTGCTCCTTATGGATTTCGCCATTGTACCGTAACCACCGATCTTTGTATAAAAATGCCCCTACTATGGCAAAGACGTTGCAAACTGAATTTTACGAAGTCAATAGAAACACAGAACTCTTAGCCCAACCACAACATTCAGAACCCTTCCCGACGCCCAGTCGCCTCTGTGCCATACAAGACGGCATAGTACTCAAACAAGACATGCACAATAGCATACAGACGCCTGCACAATCACTCGCCCATTGCCCTCCCTCACACCGGCGGCCATGAAGTACACAGACGTCTCACACGCAGACTCACGCACACACCCGCGGAGACGCATGCGCAGCAGGCTGACTAAACTTACACTGCACCGTAACTGACTTCAGCTACTGATCGCATTGTTTGTTTCCTGTGATAGTCCACACAAATTAAAAATACGTCACGAACCGCGACTGACTTGTAGGATTACGGAATTGCTTAGCTCGAGTGATGGTGTGGACAATTTTACCATATTAGATACGCGCAAGCTGAAAGTATTGTCCAATTGCACTGACGATGTTTTATTTAAAGGATTCGTAAGCTGTTTCGACCGATATGTGGCATGCGTATATACCCATCATTGAGGACTGTTATACTCGTCAACAAAACTGCCAAACGTCTTGCATTCTGATTTTGTTTTGCTGGTCCTTACCATCTCTGATGAAGGACCGCACCAGAAATAGGATGTTTCATGTACAACTATCAATACCAAAGTAGCAAAACGCAAGTATGCATATATATATATATATATATATATATATATATATATATATATATATGATGTGTGTATACATGTATATGCTATATGTGTACATTTGCGTGGGTATGTATGTGTAATAGATCTTTCAGATTGAGCAAAGGAACATCATTTCTGCTCATTGTTATACTGGCATTTTTGCGCTTATATTAAATTTATCCAGCATGGCTGCCGCAATACCGGACAGTCGATACAGGGCGGTCTCTTAAGTAAGCTTAGTAGGAAGTGTTTTAAGGATGGGCCGCTTGGGATGGTAATTGTCCATGATTATTATCATGCTACGGCTGCCCAAAACAAAAAAAATCTGGGTTTCCTTCTTGGATCAAAGTTAGGAGGGTTCATCGGAGATTTAGGGTCTGTCTCTGTATGCGACGCCCATAGACGTGATGCTAAATTCCACTAGGGTGGCGGAGTCCTCTGCTATATGTGTCAAACACATGTTGCAACGGGACAACAGTGACTGTGCAACTAACATGCAAATGTGCGCCGAATCCGGGCGTGCCCATGAAGATCCAGTCGAGTCGGGTCGACTCGGCCGTCTCCGGCAGGAAGTAAGGCCGGGTGTAGTGGCGGCGCAGTTCGTTCCCCGCCGCCGAGTCGCAGCTAGACCTGCCCAGCAGAAGGTCTTGGGCTCGAATCTTCCGGTGGATGAATACTTCGGTTTGGCCCTAAGCAGCGCTAAATTGGCAACGTTGCCGCGTTAACCATGCATTATGCGCCCACGAAGTGTTCACCGAAGCATTTACTGACACACATGAGGCACACTTAAGGTGCATACAGATGCTTCCAATATCCGACGCATCAGTCAGCATAACGTTGAAACAGACCTGTAACAGCAATTTCCTTACCTTGTTGGTGTATTTTTCCCCAATTCAGGATGCTAATAATAAAGCGTGCAGCTGTATCTCAGAAGGAACATCCACTGGAAATCCCACAACCACAGATTTTGTTCTGCAAACCACTAAGCTACGTGTCCCCCAGGCTTGAATTCTAAAGTAAAAACAGGGCTTAGCCTGAGCTGCCGTGCAGAACTGGCCGCACGGCCGCGGTCGGCCCCGCCGGCGCCGCTGCGGTCGCGGAGGTGACCCTTACCAGCCGATGTACCACGGCTCCTCGCCCTTCTGCATGTTGGCCCGGGCCGCCGACATGGAGAACACGTCACTCAGGCCGTCGAAGTTAGTCCTGCAGCACGGAGAGCGGCACATGAGCGTCCGCGAGTCGACGGCGGACGGAGCGGCTGCCGTTTTGCGGCGCGGTGTGTTTCAGGCTGGGGCCGAGGCCATTTTTGGAGTGTTTGGAGTCGTCAGCCGTGAACATGTGGGGGGTGTAACGTGAAGGGGCTATGGCACTGACGTTTGAAACATAACGGGACTGGGCCTCGCTGCTGCGGGGAAGATGAAAGCCATTCAATTCAGAAACAGCTGAGACTTCATTAGCACGTTTACAACCGAACGACATATCAATGTTTTACACCACCAGTGTGAAAATCCAGGCGAGGCTTAACAAGGTTATGTCGTTGATATGGGGTAGGTCACTCATGTGGGCTGATACCGTAGGTAAAGACAGAGGAAGTGACGGTCAAACTACCACCGGTTCCTGTCCCTGATCTGAACTATTCTGAGGTCTGCTCCAAAGCGTTCCACCATCGAGCGCATCCCGACGACTTCAGATGCTGAGCTGACCAGGACAATGCCGGGTGTCAGGAGATATGCTGTGTCACGAAAATCTGCCTACCTACCTATCATCCTACCTGCATGCCAGAGGGGAGCGTAAGCACGTGAGCGCACCAAGTTGTGTTGTGCGGTGTACGGGGTTTCCAGGCACCCAGTGAAACAGACGTCGTAATCGTGCTGCGTGCCGCTACGCGGACGTCGCTGGCCGTTGTTTATGCTTATGCTTAATCATCGTTGTTTCATTAGGTCCTTATCCCGCCTACGTATTCAAATATGATAGTCTACGAATTGGACAATACTATCCTTCCCGTTCTTTTGAGACTTGTGCCGGAGCCAACAATCGAACAGCTGTGGACTGTTCCACATGTACGCACAGGTGTATTCTCGATAGGACTGTCATGCCGGAATCTATCCTTAGCAGTTTTGCATGGCCTGGTTAAGATACCACGTTACCTTCATACCACGTTGAATTATATTTCTTGGTCCCGCAACCATGAAAACGTGTTGCCTTTTCAGTACTTTGAGGCATCAGCTCGGCGTGGCCACAGCATAGAACTACAAATAAGCGAAATAGCTCTGAGGAGCAAACACCACTCTTGCTCACTTATTCGACGCCAAAGTTCCGGTCAGTCAATGCTATGCTTCATTTGCGAGTGAATTAACTCTGACTATCTTATTGCGGTGTCATAATGACTTTCCATGTTTACCCAAGCGGTTTTTGCAAGCGCATTCAAAACGTCGGAGCCTGGCGCTCTGGCACTGGTTAAGTTTATCGGGGGGTTGATGGCATACGTTTTGTCAAAGCTTGAGTTCACCACATCATCCAGAGTCAGCTCCAGGACAGGTGTTTGGAAGACAAGTTTGAATGAAACACGGCCTGCTGAAGGCGGTTGTCTCGTCCAATGTTTTTTGACTGCACCCGACAGGTGTTTGACTGAAGTGAGCTGTAGCGAAGACTATATATATATATATATATATATATATATATATATATATATATATATATATACATATTATTTGGAATAATACATATTATTTGGAAAAGCCGTCCAGTAGCATTGTTTTTTTTTCCAACCCACAGGATCATGTAAATCGAGAATGACCACACCTTAAAGGCGTATACGCTATATGCACACGAACAAGGGCGGCGTCAGTCAGTACCGGTAGGAGGCGAATATTGCGGATGGACTTCATCCTAAATGGCAATTTTTCGTGCAATCGTCATCGTTTGGCATAAAAGCCCATGCACAAAGCACTTCGGTCAGCTTCCGCTCAGGCCGGCGTCAGCTGTCATTAGTTCTGAGAATGTCTGGGTGGTGTTCGGCTGCCACCCACTCACGCATCAAAACCCAAGTCTTCTCCTTGGGGTGAATCGGTGTATTCTATCCAGGATCTAGCTAACAAACAATTGTTCTATAAAAAAAATTGGCCGTTGTCAAGTTTGGTCCGCGACTGACGAACCTGACCACGGCCGGATAATGAAATGCCGGAAACGTTGCGTACATACTGACACAACAGATGAAGACTATAGTCCAAACAATTCTTCCATCCGGGTTACTTCGTCTCACTAATTCCTTCAAACTGAGTGCTATATATACTTATGAGAAAAAAAATTTACGACCAACCTATTACCTGTTTATGATCATCCGTCTATAATTTCAACTATCGTTTCGCAAGCGTCTGATAAAACCCAATGGAGCCAGGTTCCTGGTGACCAAATAGTGATATTCCAATAACGCGACTGCACTGTGCACACCGACGCGCAAATGTGTCCACGGCTGGCTTTAGTGGTTCTCAAACTGACGGCCTTATTTACAGTACCTACAGCAGCCACCGTAAAAAGCAACTAGGCAACTTGCGTTTTTACGGTCTTTTCGGCTTTAGACATGGGTTCATGTTCATCGTAGCATTGCTACAACAGAAAGATAAAATCTGACAGTTTGTGTCCATATTCCCTACAATTCCCGTCTGAGCCTATTTTCTGCCTGCAGTTCCACAGCCACCTTTTTATTCTCCTTTCTGAGTTCTGCAATGTTAGCCGTCTCTATATAAGACGGGTGGAGAAGATTGCGAGGCCTCTACCGGAGGCACAATTCCTGCATCTACCACGGAAACAAAATGCTTCTGAGCATCTAAAGATTCTATGCACACGTGCTTGTCTCCATCTTTGTAACGTAACATGTCGTACTGGGCCACAAAAAACGCGACATTACAAAGCATGTTTCTACCAGGTTTGTCTTCTGAGCACGCTATTGACAACATTTGGAAAACTTGTATACATCCCAGGAGAATTTATGCTTTCGCCGCAAGACTGAGCTTTTTGAACTTCCATATTAATCCTGCAAATTTTGATTTCGGAGTTAAATTGACCTCCATGAAGTTCAACTGAAATTGAGACATGAAAATAAGGCTTTGGGTCTAGATATTTTTGGCTTGTAATGCCCGAGAATGCACCCATTTCGAAGCGCATGAGCCGCCAAAATTTGCTGCAAGTTTACCGGCAGACCCTTGCGTTAACACCCACGCCGGTCATGCAAAACTCCCAGCCCGAGTCCCCGCAACAACGAGTACGAAAGCGCAATTAAACCCTATCGCATTCGTTGCCCTCGACCTGAGGAGAAAGCTCGGTCGTGCCTCCAATCACCAGCGCTGCCAATCAACGAGCCAGCCCGGATGGCGAGCGTTCGTCCCCCCTCCCCCTCCCCCACACGTGAGCCGACCTGGCCGCCGACGTTGCGCCGCCCCCACCCGATGCACGCGCGGACGTCATCAGCGGATGATGCGGAACGCGCTTACTGCGCTCGCGATTGTGCCTGCCGGTGTCCGCTGCGCGTCACTTTGTCTGCCAAAGGTCGCGGCCCGGCGCCGGCACCCCGGACCAGGTGAGTCAAGCGGTCACAAACGGCCCGTGCCGGGGAACGCCTGCGCACCCCTCTCACATTCGGTGACCTCTGACATTCCGTTCCGCGGGCAAAACAGCGCGGCTCGACAGCCGGGCGGCCGAAAGTCGAGCCCGGCGCTCAGTGACCCGTGTGACCCGTGGAGAGTGCAGATCCGTGGCGAACTAGGCACGAGCGGATGCTGTTACGCACCACAGCCCGTTCAGCTACTGGTCTCTTCAAGCTTCCAAAAACAAATAAATAAATTCAGTCGTCTCACCATGGTACCGAGTGGGAAGAACCCATGCCGGCGTCCGCCCCTCTGGCCTACGGATTTTTTTCTTATGTTCGCCGGAATGGACATCGTTCGCCATATTCTTTGTCCGGAGAATTCCTAGCATGTACAGGCTTCAGGGGCGTGTTCCACTGCTTGTGGTTAGTTCGTTGGAAATTCCAGGACGAATTAATTGCATGCTTTTTTGCACCCAATCGTTATCACTCATCGCTGGAAATCCCTGTTGGAAAATCCAACCCATGCAAGAGAAACGTTTTATTCGTTATCTTACCAGACATTGCATTATGCATATAATATTATGCATTTGTATTTGCATTTACTCGCAGCCCATCCAGAGGGCGGTTTTCCGGTCTTCGGTCCATTACAATACAATAACGCATGATACCAACATACGCACGAAGTCGAAACGATAAATTTTATAGATATTTGCATTCGAAATAAAGATACCACGTGTAAAAGTACACGGAACACAGCAATGCCATACAGGACTGCGTGCAGGATAAGTGCATATATTTACACAAGCTACCTACGCGTGTGGAAAAAACCACCTTGGCTCAAAACCAAGCCAGAGGACCTAACATTTTCGTTTTGAAATGAGAGATTCTGAGCCACTGCAGATGACGTCACGGTGCGGTGGCCAGAAGCAGGTGGACGCATGCTGTCGTGGCGCGATCAGGATATCTCCCCTTACTGACTGTCCGTCGGCACTGGCCAGGCAGAGAGACCCTGACAGGGAGAGGTGCCTTTTTCAATAAAACAGAGGAACGCGGCTTTAAAAGAGATTGAGAGGCCAGGGTTGGTGGAGGGGGAGGGCAATCCCTTGCTTTTCAGAGCTTTACACGCTTTCATGACTTTCCTCTTTCCTACACAATCAGCAATCCGGGCCAGCCCAGAGGCCCCAGAGTCGGTGAGCTAAGCTGGCCGTGTTTAATAGCAGAGACAATCCTGGTGGCGGCATTTTAAGTTCCTGAGTCTTCCTCACCTGGTACCTGGCCGCGCTACCTCATAAGCATAAGCGGTAAGAGACGTACCTGAAGATGTAAACTAAACGTACCATTTTGAGGAGATTAGGTGTTAAATAATGCTCGAGATGCTACAGCGAGATGCTCCGCAGTCCATAACGGAGCCCCTATAGGTTAGATTGGGCCACTATAGGTCAGTATAGGATCTCTACGAGTCAAAATGGGCCCGTGTAAGGCCAGAGCGGGCTCTTTTCAAGCCAGAAGGGCCCCTCTATATGCCAGAAAGAGACTCTCGGCTGGTTAGTATGGGCCTCCATAGTCGATAATATGCCTTCTATAAGTCAGAGTGGACTCTTTAGAGGCTGGAATGGCCCCTCCTCAGCCAATAATGGCTCCTCTACGGGCCGGAATGGGCACTGTACAGTCGATAGTGGGCCCTGTGCAAGCCAGAAGGAGCCCCTGCGCATGTCATAATGAACCCTCCAAAGTCGGTGATAGAAGATCGACAGATCAGAATGGGTCCTCTAAAGGCCACAATTGGGTCTTCACAGTCAATAATAGGCCATCTGTAGGCCAAAATGGGTCCCCTACAGGCCAGCATGATGGGAACTGCAGTCAATAATGGGCTCTCTACGAACCTGAATGGGCCCCTCTGCTGGCCAGAATACGTCATGTACGGGCCAGAATGAGCCCTCGACAGTCAATACAGGACGCTCTACACGTCAAATGGGCCCGCTATAGGCCAGAATACGCCATCCAGTTAATGTTAGACCCTCTACGGATCAGACTGGGACTTTACAGGCCAGAATGGGTTCTTCACAGCTAATAATGGGCTTCGTTCAGGCCGGAATGGGCCCTCGATAGGCTCAGAAGTGCCCTCTTTGGTCAGAATGGGTCCTAAAAAGACCAGAATAAGTCCTCGACAGGTCAGAATGAGCCTTTACATGCTTCCATAATCTCTTTACGGTTCAGAATTACCCTTGACAGACCAGCATGAGCCTCTACAGGCCCTGCTAGTTGGGAGGTGAGTTGCACCCACTGCCCCCAGCCCCCTTCCCGCGTCCTTATGCACGCAGGATCTCGCAATAGGGGGGGGGGGGGGGTCAACTCAAAATCGCTCACGGAAAATCTACGTTGGCGTGATGGGAGCTGCTTATAGGGCATATAACATAATTGCATGTTTTCAATCTCATTTTTGTTGCGTATCTGTCACTTCTTTTTGCATGCATTTTCAGTTTTTCAGGGACATTTATGCGCGTAAAAAATTGATGAGATGGATGACGGGGATGAGAAGTCCATGGATCACCGGCAGGGGCGTCAGTTCTCACCGTACCGCCTGCGTCGACCATTCTGTTACCTTTCGAACTTACCGGGGTCCAAACCACACCACCGAGGTTCTGTCACAAACATGTTATGATCACGTGTCCACATCATGACTTCAGCGTCTCAGAAAATCATCGTGCGTGATCTCACTCTACCAACTGTTCAGACCGCTGCAAACCTGAAGTTCCATCTGTCCTGTACTGTCTGTTCTGAAGTTTTGTCCGGGGTGCAGTCATGACCAGCGCCAACCGAAGCTCTCCGGGAGCGGCTCACTTGTATGGGAAGAACTGGCAGCCCGCCTCCGTGCTGTCCGCCGCGAGTCTCCCCGAGCTTTCCGCATACAGCTCCTTGAAGAACTGGAAGTTGAAGACGGCGGGGGCCGTCCAGTTGGCGGTGCCGTCCGTGATGATGACGGGTCGGCCCGAGTACGCGTACCTGCGACGCCAAGGGTCAAGGTCAGCCGGGTCACATGCCGGACACCGCCCGATGTCGACTCGTCTGGCGTGATGCAGGATGGCAAAGCAGGATGGTTAACAGCCATACTGCCTTTGTGTGAGTCCGCTTCGTTCAACACGATGCTGTGATATCAAATGCCCCAATGGCACAAATAGACAGACGCAGTCAAGGGCTTTTGAGGAGCGGCTGGTACTAAACGATTCCTCATCTGAATATGTAAATGTGCGTGGTCGACAGGTCGGTCGCAGATATAGGAACTGAAACCGGCGTAAACCTGTGGGTGCAGCTATATGTATGCATATATATATATATATATATATATATATATATATATATATATACACTGGGTGATCAGGACAAGATGCGTATATAGTATTAACGTGTGATACAATGTGGGCAATGAGGGCGAAAGTCGGACATCAAATTGAGAGTCGTAGCTAGGCGAGGAAGCCAAAACAAGTGGCGTAAGTTCCCCCCGCCATAACATTGCGACAAAGCATTCGGTGACCCGGCACCCGTTGGTCGCTGTCGTGACTCAGATAATGCATGTTCGTGTTTGCAATCCAGCCGAGCCGTAGATAAGTACCCTAATCGTCGTCGTTGTCCCGACCGGCCTGCGCCGCTCCGCTCAGACCAGACCGCTCCGCAGGTGTGCTGGCGTTTGGCCAGAGTACGTCACATCACGTTGTAGCTGGTGATCGCTCTGTTCCTTCATAACTGCACTGGATGGTGGAATCCACATATTTATTTTGCACGAGTGTACGTGGCGTTATGCAAGTCACCTTGGGGTCCTCGAGTGACTGGCCGGTTTTGAAGGGAAATTGTGCGGTCATGGGCCACAAAACACCGGGAAAGTCATGAGCTTCTTACCTTGGGTCTAATGGGCTCTGGAGTGAAACCTCACCATGGAATCGCGCCCTGATCGTACAGGCACTCGCCCTGAGCGCCTTCCCGGACACATTCATCTGTACCGAGACGATTCATCGCCGTCTACCACCCAATGAAGCGATCTAACAGCCCGACGTCCCCACCGGACAATCCAGCAGCCAGTGCCGGAAATAGCGCTGCCTCCAGTCGGGGGGACGACTGCAGATCGTAGGCGAAAGCCCAGCTTAAAGTGCAGGCAGCCGTCCAGCGGGTGGCCACACCGTCAGCGTCAGCTCTCCGCTCATGGGGCGCCACCTCCCGCCGGGCGCCAGCTGAGCCACCAGGCGTGTGAGCGCTTCCGGGTGCACTACGCGCGAGCCCGCCAGAGGCAGCGACGCTCGCTGCCCCAGGGTAGCTGGACTGGTGCAGGTGTTGCGCCACACGCCGGCCACTCGCACCGGAGCGCATTCTTCCGGCAACATCTAGCGCAATATTCAGCCTAACGATGAAGAAAAACGTTGGACAGGGAAGACGCTGGGTTGTGTGATGGTCTACGCTTTGCGTGGATTCATGTACTTAATGGCAATGCCGCTTGCCGACTTTGTAGAACATTTCCCGTTGACACTCTGGGATGTGAAATTTCTTTGTTGCAAAAGGATGTACCACACGGTCGGGAAACAAGCCCGAAGCAAAAACAGGCTGCAAGGCAAATCAAGGCAGTCCGGCGATACGTGATCAACACCATTTGATGAAGGCCATAAAAGTCGTTTGCTTGGGCTGATGTGTGGGTTTATGTGTGGGTTCATGCGTGGGTTAATGTGTGGGTTCATAAGTGAGCTCATGTGTGGGTTAATTTGTGAGTTCATATGTGGATCCACGTGTGGGGCCCGAGCGCAGCCAGTTTCGGACGTTCGGACGCGGGCCACCGATGCGCTCGTTTTGAATATGTTTCCTGATTAATGTTGGATATCGACAGAGGAAAAATGCATGAATTCAGCTGCACAGCATAGACAAATGCATAATCTATACATCGCAATATGCTCCAAACACTGTCCAACCCACTGCTACGCCAGAAATCGATCGAGAAAAGTTCAATGTCAATTCTTCCGAGACCTCGCGGCCTCGAGGGCCGCTAGCTGCGCCGTCTCTGGGATGGAGTGGAGGTAGACCGTGAAACTACGGGGGTGGGTAGTCAGGCTCGCTCTGCCCAGCATGTGCGCAAAGTGTTTTCTTTTGGAAATATTTCGGTCACGGTTGCCGAAAACATAAATCGTAATCTTTTGTTTCGCAGACCTAAATCGCCGAGCCTGTCCAGACCCAATGGTTTAATGCTTTTGGCGGTGTGGTCCGTGAACTAAGATGGGATCGCTTCTTCAATAAGTCTGCGTGCTAAGCCCTCGAGAACAACGGATTATAAACATTAAAGACATTTGTGTGAGTTCCAAGACGTATCTAGGGCCTAATAGCTTACCATCCGGTGTGATTCACAACATGATAGGTCAAGGATCGGGTTTCTGATGTACGCATACGAGTTTCTGGACGTGAGGCAAGGCGACGTGATCAGAATAGAACTACTAATACGGAAGGCGTTTGTGTCTATTTTTACCATGTCAACAGTTGAGCTTTGCTTACTTGAGCTCGAACTCTTGCGGAGTGATGTTGGAGACCCGGTCCACGTCCAGCACATCTGAGCACCTGCTGCAGTTGTTTGGCGCCGCCGTCAGGTCGGCCATTATCGGATGCATCTCGATCATGCACTGTCGACCCCACAGCTCGCGTCAGCAGCCGTAACAACATCTCCAGCACGAACTGGCCGCAGCACATGTGCAAGTGAGAGCAGCGGCAACATCCCGGCGCACACTCCTGACATCACTTGCGCTAGTCAGTTGTAGCGGCAGCATTGCGACCGCGCATTGCCGAAAAAACACCCAGTATGCGCTTGCATGGCGGTTTGCCTGCATGTGAGCCCAAATTCGAGCCGGCGATGCTAGAGAAGGCACGGCCTTCCGTGTAACTGGGGTGCGGCCAAGAGTTTGGGCGTGGTCTCCATAGCAGCCCTGAGTGTGGTATGAGCGTGCTCCCTTTGCAGTTCCGTGGGCGTGGTCTCGGATGTCACCGCGCTTTGTGCTATGAATAGGTCTCCAGTGCTCGAGGGTGCAGTCCCCGTTTTGCCGGCGTGTTCTTCCTCAGTGTAGTACCGACCGTAAGCATGGCCTTCTGTGCAGCGGCTCTTTATGCCATCCCATCGACTTTCACAACTAGTGCTTTAAACGGGGAAACCTGTTTGAGGCAAGACCAGCCCATCCAGTTCCAAGCTCGGTGACCTCAATTAGGGCCGCTCTCCAGAGTGGGGACCAGCTCTACACACGCGTATGGCAGCACTGACATGATGGTATGCGCCTGGACCCTACGGGCGTGTCCGGGATCCCATAGGGCTCCAGGCTTATGGCATCCCTGGAACGGACACTAGGATCTTTTTTGGGGGGCTCCAGGGCATGTCCGCTGACAAGGGCGTCAAAATGGGGTTTCCAAAATCGCATCATATGTGGAGCCCTATGGCCTGGCAAAACCACAACAGGGACAAACACGGCGTGTTGACATTGGTAAAGAGTGTGGCCCGAGTGTGCATGCACCCTGTGGACCTCGCTATCCTCCCAGCCCAAGACTTCTTTTGCTGTTTTTCCTTTGTATGCCGGCGCTATCGGCTGTAAGTATTCACTTTACTGGGTCCCCATCATTTCCCCAGTTTCCTTCAAATAACTGGGATCTCGTGTAGCTTATAAGCCGTCTACCAAGCTTTGATGTTTGGGAGCTGCAGAATGAGCATATTGCCATAAAACTGTCTTTGGTCGTATATATATATATATATATATATATATATATATGCAAGGTAATTGAAATGTTTGAATGTATATGTACTTGATGTACATGAACTTGCATATATATATATATATATATATATATATATATACGCATCGTAATCCAAAATGTTATGCATTACATTACAGAGCTGTGTGTACCTGGCCCGCACAGAGGCACTGAAGTGTGTGGAACGGTCAAACCGCGGAAATGTCATACACGGCTCACCATCTATTCAGTTATATGAAAACCGGTGACGCGGTTTTCGGCCGAGTGCGCAGACATGGCCCACGAGATCGCTACGTGATGCTCGTGCTTCGGAGCTGAAAAAACTGTCTTCTAGCATTCGTTCGACGTCCACCGAGGGCCTGGAGCGACGGTGATAAAGCGGGGAACGGCTCGTGCGTTCCTGGCGCCGCTGGTGAGAGTCCTGAAAACCAGGACCAGCATTTTGCCACCCGGGGGGAGCCTCCCGGTGCCGGGGACCAAGCGTCTAACGCTGAGGCCGAGCCTGCTGCCACCGGCGCCGCCAACCGCACGTCCCCAGCGTGGGGTCGGCCACGGCTCGCCCGTACCCCGGTCCACGGCAGGAAAGTAGTAGCGCCGACGAGCGCCGTGACGCAACGCCATATAGAAAGGCGGGGCCGACGGCGCCCGCCCGCGCGATCCGCGGCTCGCCGCGCCTCTCACGGCCGTCCAGCGCGGGGCTCGCACACTCTGCATTCAACAGGTGCGCCCCCTGGGACAGCGGCGGGCCGCACAGTCGGCGGCTCTCCGCCAGGTCCAGTCACGTGCCTCGCCGCGTAAAAACAAACCGAGGTCGCGCGGCGTTCGGCGACGGCGGCTGCGCGGCGGGAGCGGAACCGGTCACGCCAGTCGGCGGGGCGTCTGTGACGGGGCGGGGGGGGGGGGGGGGGGGGTGGACCAAGGCCCTGGGGGAGTGGGTCGGCTTCAAGGGAATACTCCTCATTTGGAGATACCGAAGCAAACATGAGATAGTATGAAATCAGCTCACTTATAGCTATTGGTATATTACTATATTTTTACATTATATTATCATACATGTTATAGACATCATATGGTATTATGTATATATGTTATGCATGTTATATGTATGCTATATGTATGTTATATGTATGTTATATGTATATGTATGTTGCATCATATGTACGTTATAGACATCATATGATATATTATCTACATGAATACGTATGCGTAGTTATATATGCATATATATATATATATATATATATATATATATATATATATATATATATACATATATATACATCAGCATATCTTGGTATAAGTGGAAAAGACTAGCCTAGGCGGCAAAACTTCTCAGTGTAGTAAATATGCTCATCAATGCAACAGTAATTGATTGCGTCATCGCACCTTGCACAACATTGGTTGAGGGCCAATTGGCGGCCGTTATATCTGAAAATCATGCTCGCGAACGCCAAATATGAGCGACTCGACAATTATATTTGCTTAGTCTTGGCCCCTGCACGGCTACCGGGATTATTTAAGTAAGGTTATTATGGCGTCATAGATGCGTGGGTGGCCTTGAAATAGTCTCCTCGTAAAAGTCTGCAAATTTTCGCAGGCGTGTAACTCAAAAACTAGAGTGGTTCAGGTTTTAAGAATGGCAGGGCTGTGAACCGCACCGAATGGTCTTCAAGATGGCTATTTCAGTTCAAAATCCCCTTCAAATGTGGAACACTTCCTCTCAGCTCGCTTCGTAAGGCGCTTCGTGAGCCGAACAAGGCCTGACACTGGGCCGGCCCGGAGCGAGGAAAGCGGCTGATGTCTCACCCGAAAGTGAGAGGGCCTCCGCTGATCAGCTGGACGACCAGGGGAAGGGGTGACCGATACTCCGCTGACTGTCCGGGGGAGGGGCGTACCCCTGGGAAGTCTCAGCGGTGCCGGCTGCCCTTCCAATCACGGTCGGCGTCCAAGGTCGGCACGGGCTGCACGTCCTGGCCGATCGGAGCTCGCGCGCCCGACCGGCCGGGACGACGGAGCCCCGCCGGCGCGCGTGCGCTGCGCCGTCACCGGACTGCGTGGCGGACGCTGAGCTGGTATCAACCAGAGGCCGGCTGAGGAAGACGGCCGCGGTAGGCCAATACTAGATACCCACTTGCCCGGCATACTAAACAGCCCCGCTCTTCAGCATGGTTTGGCAGCCGCATTCCTAAGCACTATCCCTGTGAAAGTGAAAATGCTAGTCTCGCGCGGTCGTGACACCGTGCCTCCACGAGTTGTACCGGTTGGGTCTCGCAGCGTGTGTCCCACGTCGTGAAATTTGTACTTATTTTGAGCATAACGAAACATTGTTGAACTGGAGGGGCCCGGAAACCCCATTCGTAATTACGTGACTTCAACGTCGCAGATGCACGGCATGCATCGAACTGAAAACGCAACTTTGCTCCAAAGGTAACGCCATGTCATGTACCTATTCTGCATGCGTGGGCTGGGTCACGGAAAGAGTGATTGTCCCAGTGTGCTATATCGCCCGGCGCCTTCCAGTGCATCTATCTTTAACACTTTTGCCATGCACCGTTTTCGTTTAATTTTGTATTTATCGATATCGTCGACGATGTTAATGCTGCCCATGCAGCAAAATGCGCACGCATTCCGAGGCATCAGCGTGATGAATGTATGATTGAGTCAGTTTAAGGTATGTATTGCTACGCATTTTTCATTTATCTTCCTTGACATTGTTGTGTGCTCCCTCGTCACTGCCTACTTGTATATTTCAAGATCACAAGCCTTTCAAAAGTGTTTTACTTGCATATATTTTACGTTTGACGTACTTCTTCTTTTTGTCCTAAAAAAGCAAGCGTCGACCAATTGATGGATTGCGACGAAACAATATCACTTACTTACGTTACAAAACTTTTCAAGACTTTTTTATAGGCCTGACGGCAAACGATTTGTTCAAGCCCTTTTACCCTGAGTTCCGTGTGTCTTATATTTGGTATCAAACTGCGCCCCTGCCTTCTAATGCTGTCGTGAAGATGGCCAAATTGTGTTTTTCTTCAATGATCTGGGTGAACATCCAATTCTTCATATTGTCATTCCAAGCATTATATCACTCACGCATTATCTGACCAGTTTAATAATGCCTTTGGTTAGTTGACGTGTGCGACATCGTCAGAATGAATCCGGCGGCACGAACAACCAGGGTCGGTTAGACACTTAACGATTGGGCAAACGCTAACTATGCAGTGCATCATTACCGGGTTCATGCTTCGACTGGGGAAACGCAGCGCATCGGATGGCTGCTTTATGCTTGAACACTTATAATACAAATACAGATGGTGCCGCAGGCATGCCTGCAGCGAAAACTGTTTTCGCCTTTGTGAGAGCGAAAGCAGTCTCCGTGACAAATAATCGATGCCAGAAATGTTGTCTCTAAGCAGGCGCCCGCCAGTCAAATGCGTTTAGTAGCACCTGACACGGATGGGCGCATTCATTAGCTCGTTGATGGCGCCATGGACCGGCCAATAACACGCGTAAAATGGTGAAGGGTCTCCCACAGCATTCGTTTTACCGTCCACACAGATTGCAAGCGAAAATAGCAGTATTTATTTCCTCACCCAGCCCGAGTGCTCTTAGGTGAGATACGGGCTGCAGTGACGCTAGAAACGCTAGCAAACTTTCGAAGATAGAATACGCTTAACGGAATGAAACTGACATGTTGCATGGTTTTTGCCAAAGCATGCTACGAATTAGCGTACTCCCCTAGAGAAAAAAGTTTATTTCCCTTTACTTCAGTAGTCAAACACCTGGCGCTCTTCCCACGATAGCGTTATGGCATATGTAGCTTGAAATAATTGGCAAAAAAGCCTCTTTATTCTTCAGAGGGAATTAGAATAAATTATATCGGATATTACTGAAGGACAGGACAGTGCGTTTTCAAAAAGCGGCTTTTAAACTCAGCAAGTTTTGAACTAACAAAATGCTGTTTATTTTCTGTTTCATCTTCGCCCGTACGGCTATGAACTACTACAATGCGATAAGAAAGGTTTCACTATCACATACTCGCATGAAAAAGGACCCCATTCTAAGACCTCAAATTTCGGGGTTGTAAGATAGGCAGGCAAAACTACTGATAAAGCAGAACATATCAAGGAAATCAGGAGATTTTTCCGTAACTTTCGAACCAAACGGTTTTAGGCACGGCTCATGCCTTAAGCCCTCGCTGAACTCGGGGACCTGACAGCTCTCGACCTTGGAACAATATTACAGCTGATACGGCTGGTGCTCTCCTCCTATGTTCTCCAGCCTTCCAAGTCTGACAGGCACTGAGGAAATGCTGGTTGTTGTGTTGAACGGCTCATTGTTTGGTCGGTATGTTTGAAGAAAAACCAATGAAGGAGCGAAAAAATCTGTCGATGTTATTGTATTCATTAATGAGGTGTCAGAGACGGCAAGGTAATCTTTTCATACCTCCAGGCAAAAAAGACGACCATTAGGCATTGGTTAAATAAAGGAGCACGCAACGTTTCCGGAACGACATCACGCAAGGAGTGTCTCACGAGTCGTGGATGGTTGACTTGAAGTCAGAAAACAAGGATGGAGATGCGCCACTGCGAACAGGCTCGTATGACTTTGCCTCACGCATCTGGCACGCTGCAATTTACAGCACCTCTTCTCCAGCAGTCAACGTGCGTATGGCTGGTATTTGCTAGCATTTACCTGCTGTATGTGTACTAATGCCGCATGCTCCACCGAGCCTCCCCGGAGTGGCACGACACAAAATCAGAGCACACCGTGAACAGCAGGCGCCCAAGCCGACACAGCACGACAGAATGACGACAGAAAGGCATGACTAACAGTTACTGAACACAAAGTGCAGCTGGCATATGGCCTGCAAGATCAGGTGGCAAATGCTCCATTTGCGTACACACCTCGGTCCATCTCGCCGTTTGAAGAACGCCTCCCCCCCCCCCCCCCCCCCACCACCACCAACAGCATAGTTTGTTGCAACCAGCTTCAGTGTTTCGGGTGCATCTCCGATATTTTGATGCGTCGTAATGCAATTTAGGCTAGCTTGATTTGATACCACTGTTCTCCAGAACGTAAAGTTTAAAATTCGCGTCGGGTCGCCAGGTTCCTGTCAGGTAAACGGCCAATGACCTCGTTCCGAAAGCCCTGCAGTGTAAAAATGTGGAAAATGAAAACTTCGTCACGTATCATGAGCTCGGCGCATATTTGTTTGAGTCCAGTGGTGATGGAGGTGTGAAGTAGCTACGTACAACACGCCATCAAAGCCCACGACGTTTGCGAAAGTATTCCTGGACAATGTCAAGCAACAAGTCAAGTAGAAAACTGAGTCAAATTAGCCCTCCAACCGTCGCGTCATGAACCAAGACAACGAGAACTAGTCGCCTCAAATTATCTCTTGGAAGTGAAGGATGAAACGCTTCTGCCTGCATCGGTCCCACTCGGAAGTCCCGCGTGAAGGTACACAGAGATGGAAAATATGTTGCTTGAGTTCGTTTTACATGACCTGACGTCATCTTTCCGGACATTCTGTGGTAAAGCGCTGTAGATGCTGTGCGCAGCTGTTGCCCTTTTTTGTAGACGTCAGCTGGAGTCAGCTGTTCAGAATGCGGTGAGTCAGTTAGATTCACTCTGCTCTCCTGAAATTCATCACAAGTTTGACTGCGATTCCCCAAATAAACAATTCACCGGAAGCAGTCATGTGAATCAGATCGTCCCCTTTGACGAGCATACATTCGGCCGCTGTCTGACACAGGAAACACATTTAATTGCACGTGATAGCATCTACGATAAGGGCTCCGCAAAAGGACGAAAGGTTCCAATAGCTAATGGCGGCGGCACTCACGCGCAACACAACACCATGGTACGACATGGTACGGAGTGAACCGAGTGCAAGGCGCTCACATCAGGTAAAAGGTCGCCAAGAGCCTTTCGCCGAATTTGGTATAGCCGTCTTTTAGAACGAAGTCTTGGTTGTCAGATATATTTCAACACGCGCTCGGGTGAGGGACATGTTGAGTCCCCAAAGGTTTTTTTTCCAGAATGATTTCCGGAGGTCGAAGCGCAACAGCGCAAAACGCCAAACTTTGTTTAGCTATAGAAAATTGAATAGCGGATATTTTACGGTAAAAAATTGATATACCTTGTAGGGTCGTTGACTTATGGCAAGTAAACGACGGGCCATGGCTGTCACCGAAGGGCATTTCTAGGGAATAGCTTAACGTGATGCAACAGTGGAATGTTAGACAAAGGCGTAGGTATTTGATATAGTTTCTTAGGCGACAAAAGGTATTGAGGTCAGAACGAGGTCAAAACTAGCCTGCTTTTTTACCCGAGAGCTTCGTTTTAAAAGGTAGTTTCTGATGCTCATTTCCAATTTGTTAACAACAGGAACCGCACCAATACGTTCCACGGATTCTTTAATGATCAGAGTAGATCACTGACTAAAAATGACCCAGGCCAAAATAATATTTTAGTAATATATCGCCTGGCGTAATCCCTGGTGCTTGACAAATCCCTGGTGAATGACAAAACAGGAGCAATGTCGTAGGTGTTTGGTCACCTTGGCCTCATAAAAGTCAGAAAGGCCAATGACATTAGTGACCTTTTGCTAGAACAGTTATGCAGCTTCGCGGCGGTTGCATGAGGTCTGGGGGCACTTAAAACATCAATCTGGAGTTTAACCTTGTTTGACCTTATTTGTCCCCAGGTATGAATCTCAAATTTTGACACGAGTAAGTTCACGTACAGGCCAACCCATCCCACGAATTTGGTATTGCCAGCTGTCTGAATTTTTAAGATTTTAGCGTGGTCAAATTGCCTCCTGCCCGAGTGAAGGTTATCCAACCGGCCGCCCGGGCGCGTGTCTATGCAATGTTACATTGTGTGGATTGGTGCTGAGAGCATAACCTTTCCAAAAAAGCGCATTTACTTCTTTCCATAAAAAAGAGATCGAAATGTAGATCCCAGCCTGATGTTAACATCGGCCATACAACAGATTCAGATCTGATGCAAACTCAGTGAACTGTTCTGCACCAGGCGATGTTGGGACAGACGCGGGCTGTGTGCCCATAAGGGCGGGGGGGGGGGGGGGGAGGGCATTTCGCCGTGATTGGGCCAGAACTTCGAACGGCGTTGGGTGTTGTGGGGTCCAAAAGTAAGCTCGGACGCAGGGTGCGTACGTCTATTGGCTGAGTGCATGGGGGGTTAAGCGCAAGTGCACATGCGAGTGCATGTCATGGTTATGCACGAGAAATTAGTGGTAACGTAATGATAACATAGCTTTAAAATTGGAAAATGGCACGTATATTAGGTTCAAATAAATATGTAGTTATATATATATATATATATATATATATATATATATATATATATGCCTACAAATAGAATTCCAGGTCTCAGGAGCCGTCCATAACTTACATTACGTATGCAGGGAGGGAGAGTTTTGATGAAGTGTAACGGAAGTATAACAAGGGAGGGTGTTGAAGATTTTAGAAAGTGTTGTGGGACTGTTAAAAAGTGACGTTACGCTCAGGTGCGTTTGCAAATCATTTAAAAAACATGTTTAAAAATAATCAAAATCTTACAGTACGATCCCGTTGGCTACCTCTCATTGCCAGCAAGACGTCCCTTATTTGTTTCGCATCTCTAGCTTAGTTTTATAGGCTAAACGAATGTTACTGTTCTGGTTCGTTGCAATTAACTGAGGGTTACCAGGGAGGATGTTTCAACCAGCGCAAAATGTGCGTAACCAAGGGAAGTAATGATAAAAGATGGTCAACAATTCTTAACGCAATTTATGAACGGCCTCCTACTCAATCACCATTTAGGGGTAATACATTAACACGCAACAATTCAGTCTATATATATATATATATATATATATATATATATATATATATATATATATATATATATATATATATATATATATATATATATATATATGCACGTTTGTATTCATGCATGCATGCCTACATGTATGTATCTATGTATGCATGTATGTATGTGCTCTTCTGAAGCATGACCCGGTGGCAGCGTGATCTGCATGTGGCATGATCCAGTGATAGCCAGGCTGGATGAAATCCGGACCCTCGTTCGTCTAACTTTTTAGTAAACAGCTCTGTAGATCGCTTTTAAAAAACATAAACTTATGGGATTGTTGATGCTTGCTAGCAACGTTCTTAATTTCAGATCGTCGTTCTGAAAGAAAGCTGTCTGCAAATTACACGCATGCTTCAGAGCGCTCGGCTTACGCCTCAGCATAGCAAGGATGTGAGCCTGCACGGCGATCGTGACAGACCGTGGATGTGCCGCTTTGCGCAAGGGGCCGCCTTAATTGGTGTGCACATTTCAATCACGCTGCCTGAAGCACGCCGCTTGAAGCGCGTGACGTATTTGTAGCACGACACCGGCAGCGGCCCTCCTGACCGAGCAGCACTGTAACACGACAAGCGAACACCTCACGACGAACGCGCACCCTGGAGCCCTGCATGCTCGCCACTGTACCCACCGGCTCATTCTCCACGTTGAGACCCTCCACCCACAAGATGAGCCGCGACAGGCCTTGCACTGTGTACAGCTCCTGGTGGACGAAGACGGCCAGTAGGATGGCTAGTAGGCCGGGTAGCAGCCAGGGCTGCCAGCGGGGCTGCTTGCCGCTCGCTGCCTGCTGCAGCCGGTCGTAGCCGGACAGGCTGCGCAGTTGGGCCGGCTCCACGTGCAGCTGCCGGCAGCGCGCCAGGATGGCCGCCACGCGGCCGCCCAATTCCTTCCCGTCCGGCTCCGTGCGGGTCATCACGAATACTGGGGGCACGGCCGGTCCCGCGCCCGAGCGGCACCCGCTAGCCCCTGCCCGCGGCAGTCGATCGCAGCGTCATCCGACGACAAAAGCCCAACTCACAGTTCCCTGGCGGCGCGGCGATCGGCGATGTGGTCTGATACGGACCTGGAATAAAAAGCCGGAAGGACCATTTAACGAATGCCTTCTTGTCGACTGCTGAAAGACGACAGTGGGATTTTGACACGTAAAATATTCAAATCGACTTGAAGGCGGCCGCAAAAAGGTGAAGGATAGAAACTGACCGGCCAGAATGGCAAAAAGCGAGCCGGGGAACAGCGAAATGAGGACATGTTAAAAAGTCGGCATGTCAAATTTGCGAACGCCAATATCGTGAGCTGCAAAATGGCGACGAACCAAAACGCCGGCAAGCCAAAACGGTGAGCGTTCAAATGATGAGTCGTTACGGGATCATGTTTTAATAACTGGTGACATGGAAAACGACGACATGACAAAATGCTTTCTGGCTGTAATAAAACTGCAATTTCGAAAAGCACTGTGCCTTCTAAAGGCGAGGTTCAAATCCAGCATATGGGAACGTTCAACCGAATCTTCGCAGTCGGCGAGCATTTGAATACCGGAATCAGTGTTGAAATATTCGAGACAATCGAATACTAAAATCATAGCGGAAGAATTCCAAAAAGCTAACTGTTTTTCACGTAAGCAACAGGTAGGTTTCAGATAATACTTTCGGGCATTAAGTTAGAACCGTTGTGTAGATTCCCTGACAAGATATCAGTGGTAACTTACATTGATAGCGAGCTGGCAATGAAAGCGGCTCCGCCACGCAATATTTTACTTTAATTTCTTGACTTTTACCTCCTAGCAGGCAGTATCACGACACCAATATTCTCATTTTCGGGATGTCCATCCGTCCGTCATGTACAGGTGCATTCGCGCCTGGTCGCCGGTGCCAGCTGGCAGCGGAAATCCGGCGCACAACTGGGCATGGCGGGCTGATCCATTGCAATCGATTGGTGCTCGGATCCGCCCGGAGGGGCGCCGTCGGTGCGTGTAAACGTGCCCCATTTGTTGCCCACGGGAAACATGGCATTTGCAACTTAACAAAAACCGCCAAGACACATGGTGAACTGCTTGTCTGGGATTTTGGAGGGGGTCTGGGAACTGCGCGTACGGGATTTGATTCCCCACGGCATCCGCCCTTCCTGCCAGGGTGAGAGACAGGCGACGGCATATAGCCCCAGCTGCTCTGAGAAAAGCACGCACAATCGTGCAGGCGGAAGTATGAATCGATGTGCGCTGGGGTGCACGTGCACTCGTACGCTAATCGTGGGCTCGGCGGTCTGGGAGCGTTTTCAGGGTTGATGTCAGCTCTCGGCGACCCGAGTAGATAACGACGTGAAACCGAATGCACCGTGCAGGCACACGCACCGTCTATGAATCCATCACCACCCGCGAATTTTTGACACACGTCGATTAGTTCACATCTGACCAATAAAGCAGTCGTCATAAAGCAGTCGACAAAGAGGCATTCGGTAGGCTACGAAACGGCTCTTTGACCGCACACTGTCTGATACAGCGGTGGTACGCCCGAACACTGCCTGATGCAGCGGTGGCACGCCCGGACAATGTCTGATATAGCGGTGGTATACCCGGACATTGTCTGATGCAGTGGTGGTACACCCGGACACTGTCTGATGCAGCGGTGGTACGCCCGGACATTGTCTGATGCAGCGGTGGTACGCCCGGGCACTGTCTGATGCAGCGGTGGCACACCCGGACACTATCTGATACGGCGGTGGTACGCCGGTACGCCGGGTGTGTGCATCTGCATGCCTAACTCCAAACATGGAGCAGAGTCAACGTTTCGTCGCTGGTTATGGAAATCGCCAACTGAAAGCCAAAAAGCTGGGACATCTGAAATGTAGCAAATAATGGTAGCAAGTAGTTGGCTTTGGATTATGATGCTGTCAAATTGCATTTCAACGAATACGAAGGTGAATTTTCCAAGTAATTATGTCGGCCAATAACCTAAACAGCTGACGATTTTATCATGTCAACAAGGCATGTTTGTATAACACTACGCTCCTACAAAAATGATGTTAATAGCAATAGATATAAGCGTCTTTAAATCTCATCCTTGGTATGTAGACAAATGAGCTTGGTAGACTGCTTGTATGAAGGAAAAGCAACGGAAACCAATGAAGTTCAATAGCATTTAATGGGTATTAGAACATTACATTTAAGCGGCATGTAAAACGCGTGAATAAAATCAGCCATGAATAGACTTGGAGATGAGCTCACGTTTTTTGTAATTATACTGTTTCGATTTCCTCACCGCGTAAAAAGCTTGTGTTTCGATTTTCCCCTCTTGAAATGTGACAGGGCATGATGGACGAACCATACCATGGCGCGCGGTGATATCTGTCTGGAAGCTGCAAAATCGGACGCCCCCTCGGCTGGCTTGTTGGGAAACTTGTCTGGTAGATTTTAAGCCAGTGTAGTAAACTGACAGGTGGCTGAAAAGCAAGAGGATCATGAAAGTATGATACTAGGATTAAACGGTGGTGTTCATGCTCTCGTGCTTAAACTGTTTTCTCTCTTGCATGCAGCCATGGGCGTAATCTCCTAAAATGTGTCAAGTGGGGCGGTTGAACAGTGAAAGATGACGAAATCCTCCCTGGGGGCTGGAGCGCAGGTTGGGGGCCTGGAGTTCCCAATTGATTGGGAAACCACGCCCCCGTTGTTACCTTAATCCCAAGACTTTAATTACAAAGCAGTCTTCCGTCAACCTGTAGCGCTTGGTTTTGTCTGCAGTTGATGATGTCGAGCAGCCCACCGCCATTTGGCCTCAAATGTGGCTAAAGCTGCGAAAAACGGCGTAAGCAGCTAAGCATAGCCTGGTGCCTAAAGATGTTAACAATGCCTGATTTCATGTCCCGAAACGACCTGTGACTGGATCGTCACGATGAGCCTACAGGTCAGCTCATGCTCTCTGCCGAGGAAAAAACACAGCTCTCTGCTGTGTTTTTAATCGGGTTCACTGGAAAAAGGTCCTGTACTCATTTAACAAACGCTCGGGTGGGGGTCAAATTGACCCCGCCCCAAAGGTTTTTCCAGAATGGTTTCCGAACAGCACGGCGCAGCGGCGCCCAATTTTGCATAGCTGCAGACAATTGAATAGCGGATTGTTTGGCATACAAAATTTGGATGTAACTTGTAAGGCCGCTGACCTATGGCAGACCAAAGTCAAGCCAAGGTTTCAGCGAAGTAAATTTCTAGGGAATTGTTCAGTTTGATTCAACAACGGAGTGTTAGACGAAGCCGTACATCTCTGAAATGATTTCTTAGGCAGCACAAAAATTGAATGAGCAAATCACGTTGATCTAAGGTCAGTTATCAAGGCCAGACCAAGGTCAAAACCAACCTGCTTTATTACTCTAGGGCTTGCTGTATGGGATATTTTCTGGTGCTCATTTCAAATTTAGTGATAGCAGGAACCGCATTATGCATCTTCCATTGACTTCTTAGAGGTCAGAATAGGCCATTGAACTGAAATGACCCAGGTCAGCATTTTTTTAGGAGCATACTGCCTGGTGTAATCTTTGTCGCTTATTCAAATGCCAAACCCAGAACAGTCTTGTATGATTTTGGTCACCATGACCTTCAAAAGGTCAAACAAGGTCACTGATCTTAACTGAGCATGTGACCTTTTGCTTAGAAACAGTTATCTAGGTTATGGGGGCACTTTGGAGACTGACCTGGATTTAACCTTGTTTGACCTTATTTGACCTGAAGGTCAAAAACTAAGAACCTAAAACTTTGGTCTAAGTGAGTTAACACATAGGTCAGCACACCCTATAAATTTGGTGTCTCTAGCTCTCTTAGTTTCCGAGATCTCAGGGGGGAGGCAAATTGACCCCCACCCGAACGAAGGGTATTTAACCGGCCACCCGGGCGCGTGTTAACCTAGAGATTAACGTAGGGGATTATATCTGTTGTGCTGTCTGAAGTGATTGTCGGTGTACCAGAAACGAGCTGTGTACCTCTAAACCGCTTTTTCATGCTAATTTCATTCTCAACAGCAGTGGTGTAGCCAAAGGGGGTGCAGCTTTTGGGAGCATGCTCCCCCCTCTCCCTTCCCTAGAGATGGCAAGAGCGCGAAAATGTCCGAAGGCTTCTGCGCTTTTAGGCTGTTTAAGATGCACGTATGCCATGCCGTGAAAACCCACACATCACGATCATGCCACCATCGCTTAGTTTAATTCCCGACACGTGGTCAATTTTCGCCGCGGCATAGCGACTACGTGCAGGCTGCGTGCATGCACTTTTCATTCACACACGCTCTAGCGCCAACTTTTCTACCCCTCTTCAGTTGTTCAGGAAGCCTTGATACCCGAAACCGTCGCCGCCTCCGCCCTGCTCTCCCGATAATGCATGGAGATCGACGTAGCGTGAGTGAGCCGACAGACCGCTGGACTGAGGAAGACACGCGGAGACATTTATCACCGAGCGCGGACTGACGGTATCTCTCGGCCGTGGTGCCGGATAATCCAGACGCCTGTTTGGTAGAGCAGGCGTTTGGCGAGAGTATGGCAGCAGATACCACTGCATGCAAGACGCCGACCGGGCCATTGCCATGCCATCTCCAGGATGGTCCAAGTGGGTAAAATGGCACATTCACATACTTTGAAGAAAACTTAAGCTGCTTGTAAGCGGAAAAATGATTTTTGAAGACTCCTCTAATAATGCGGAAGATAAATCCGATGAGTTTTTAAAAACCTCGGTCGACTTTTGTAATTTGGCCCTAAGCTAGGGTCACCCCTTCCCAAGCGATGTTCTGGATCTCTCGTGGTCGTGGTGGTGACAGTTCACGTGGACCGTCTAATTTGGATTAGCGGTCAGCAACTACGCCATGTTTTAATTCATCTCACTGCGATCAATGAACCGAGAATTACTGGTGTTTCACTATTGCGGAGATAGCTACGTGGTCCACA